GTTAGATTAGAACAAATAGCCCTGTCCCAACAAACAATTATGCAGCTAAGCTGACATTTACTCGATGGCCGATAAGACCAATGCGTACCCCCTGAATTTAGATATAATTGAAACCTTACTGGTCTAGTTCAATCAGATAAAAATCAGTCAAAGCCATTAAAAACGCACTTGCCTCTTAGAAATGTGCCTAGTGTTCTTTGGACTACCAGAGAGTCTTGACTATTGAAAACTATTAGAAACAGCAACAATGTTATGTGGCTTCTATTCATCTTTGATAACAAGAAGTCTTGTTCAAGTGATAGTTCTTTTACAATTGAGTGGACACTATGCTGCACGAGGCGAGACGAGACAATCTGAAGTGGGTCAACTTCTGCGACAACTCAACTCTGCGTTCGGGATAGAACTTAACATCTTTATTAACATGGAGAGTACCAATGAAGAAGCAATGGAGTTACAGCTAGATACGCCAAAGATGCAAATTCAGCTATCGGATAACAGTATACCTGATTTTAAACTTCTTGGAAGATTTACCGAAAAAACTTTAACCATAGTTTACATACAGACCTATCCACTCGACCCTCGGCTCATGAACTTTTTACCACGCCTTTTGTGGGAGCTACATGAACTTCACATCGTTTTCATAACTAAGGAAGAGTCCAGCAACTGGCAGAATGATCTCTACAGCTACTGCTTTCGAAACGGTTTCATCAATGTGCTTCTCATTCAGAACCTACGACCCGAAATTCTGTTATATAGCTACAATCCATATCCAACAATTCGCACTTTGCGATTGCCGCTGCTTGAGGATTACCTCAATAGGTGGCGCCATCTACTGAATTTTCAACAGTACCCGGTTAGGACTCTTCTATTCACGGTTGAGCCACGCATTTTTCAATATGTAAATCGAAGAGGAGAGCTGGTGTATAGTGGCTACTTGTACAATGCGCTTAAGGAGTTTACGCTTCGCCACAATTCTTCGATACAAATAGTGAAGGAAGTTACCAATGATGATTTGTACGATACTGCTGTTACTCTACTTGTAAACCGTAGCCTTGATATTATTTGTCATGTCAGAGACCCCCAGTTGAATGTTTTATCCACTAAACCTCTCCATCTCGTTGCATTACGTTTAGCGGTGCCCCATGCTAAGCCAATTGCGAGCTATTTGTACTTTGTGCGCCCTTTCACATGGACTCTGTGGCTCACAGTGATTGGAGCCATTGGGTATGGAATGCTGATGCTTTATGGTAGTAGCAGAAATGGACGCTCCGAAATCGGCAAATATTTTCTTAGCAGTTGGTGCAATTTTCTGTTTATCTCACAGCCGAGGATCATCTTTGCCAACTGGCAACAGGTTGTCATCCATTTTATAATGCTCTTAAGTGGATTCATACTCACGAATTTTTATGTCGCATTGCTTTCAAGTATGCTAACATCGGGTTTGTTTGAGGAAGATTACAAAACATTCCAGGATTTGGAACGTTCTACATATCTATTGCCAGTTGATAGCTACTATGCCTCGCAGTATTCTTTCTTGCCAGAAGTCCTCAAAAGCCGCATTCGAATAGTTGAACCGCATGTTTTGGATAATGCGCGCCGATCTCTGAACGCAAGTCACTTGGTTACGGGATATGAAGATCGCATAGAGGGTGTTTTATTTCAACAACACCTTCTGAAGGTTCCTCGCATCAAGTTGATGCCTCAGAGTATTTTAGATGGCCTCATGTCACTCCCAGTGGATATCGGATTGCCGTACTTAAATATGATGAATGCTTATTTAAGGCGCATATTTGAGTGCGGCATTTTGACAAAGATGAAGAGTGATGCATGGCTCGACACAATCGAGGGTGGCATTATGAAATTTATTACGAGTGACGGGACTAAGCGGAAGCCATTCGATTTGGAATTTTATTACTACGCTTTTGCAATGTGGGGCACGGGATTGCTACTGGCATCGCTCTGCTTCCTCCTAGAGTTGCTTAGGCATTGTAGGACAAACCTCACTTGCAATGTCAATTATCTATTTAATGTATATAAATAAATTTGGCGCCTAATCACAGTCTCTACGTGCAGCTATAGCTGACCAGCATGATATATAAATCTACATATAATATTTTGGAGCTATCATCGTTTTGAATTTGAATTATTATTTTATAGCCGGTGATACTTTTCTAGAACGTTCTCACTTTTTATACATACCTTGAGCAGATTTTCAATGGGAAATGTTTGTTACAGGTAGAAAGAGGCGTGGCAGATCCTATAAAGTATATATTTGCTTGATCAGGACGACGAGATAAGTCGATATAGCCCTGTTCGTCTGTCCGTCCGTATGAACGCCGAGATCTCAGAAGTTTTACGATCTAGATAAATTATATGCATACTCGTGTATACCATACGCAGTACGAGTTCATCATATGGTTTTGATAACTCATCCAATTTCGTTACTATCGAGATTAATCGATAAATTTATTCATTTTTTTTTTTTTTTCTTATATTGAGCCTTTTACTTTTTCTTTTAGTTTCAAGATTGGTGCAGTGTTACATTAGATCAACTAGTTCTTCGTTTCTTTGACGCTTTTTGCAATGAGAGCCATTGCTCCGTTTGGAGCAACATTAACTTGTGCACCAAAAAAATATGGTTTATTCTGAAATGGTTGCAATTTATTTTTAGTTAGCGGAACACAGAATGTTTAGAATATCAGCTAGCAGGCTCAAGGTCTCTCTGTCTCTGTCTGTCTCTCTCTCGACTAGAGCCATCTTACTTGTTTTCAATAGTCATTCTCTCTGGATTGCTCGACTACGAGATCCTCTTATCCCTTCGAGCAATTGATACTTCAATAATTATTCGCACATGCACGCACACACACAGGATACGCACGCACGCATAAACACGCATTGGCTGCAGCGCGGGCTTACTACAAGAATAAAGAGATAAATGATAACAAAAAGGGAAAATTTACAAAATATAAATCTATATTTAAATTTTGCGCTTCTAGCTCTAAAGGTGTAGGTAACTTATTTTCAATAAGATTTTTAGTCGATACAAAAATATCGGGAGTAGTTATCAATTTTGGAGAAAAACTCGATATGCGCGCGATATACACGGGTCTGTTACATACTGTTAACAGAACTATTATACCCTGATTTCCCATTTTCAATGGGTTAAGGGTATAAAAATGTGTCTTCTAAACTTAGGCAACATATAGACCTAATTTTTTTTTTTAAATTAAGATTACCCAATGTGATAATAAACTGTATTCAAGCTATCTTACTATAAATATGTATATATATACATAAATATGTATGTATTTTATTCGTTCCCAAAGAAAAATTTGCTGTTGTACGAATACATCATTGGTTCACTGTATGTATGTACCGGATACAAACATTGTATCCATGTAGATTAGCAGATTATGCCTGCCAATAAGCCTTTTGTCAGGGGCTCCATTACTTTATGCCTCATTTGCATCACCACCGCACTTGTCATCTCATCTCTGACACCGGGCGGGCTGGCAATCACAAAGTTTCAACTTGCAACTTAAGCTTGGAGCTTGGGACTGCCTTCTCTGTAGGCGCTGATGGTGTCTTTGGTAATTGGCAAACATTAATTATTTCCTCGCGCTCGGCTCTCGACTGGGCTAACTTCTGTGTGCTGTGTTTGTTTTTTTCTGCATTTGCAAAGGCTTTGTTTATGCTGCTTGTTGTTGTTGTTGTTTTTGTGAAAGGATCGGTGAAGTGATTCAAATGTTTATTTGGTGGTGTATCTTTGATTGCAGACTAGCTGCACACTCACACATACAGAGCCAAAAACTTTGCGCAATGAATGTGCCCAGGCTCGGTCAGGCTATTCAGGTATCTCATTCGCTTGGTCTCTGTCTCTTCAAGACTTTGCTATTTATTTTTGGCCGAAATTGCACATTTTCCCATGCTGCTGTCGTTGTGGCAGCGTTAGCTGCTGCTAGCTATTGATGTTAGCTGTTAACTGTTTGCTGCTGTTGTTGCTTTTACTGCTGCTGCTGCTGCTGTAGCCGCGTTGCGTCTAATCAAGGAGCGGAGTCACAGCAGCAACTGCCTTAGCCTCAATGCTCTGGCCTGCTTGCCTGGCCGGGCTGTGCCGTGGCCGCCTGCTGCCATTTGGACCCCGAGGCAGCCAAAACGATGAATATTGATTTAATTGAAAGTCATCGAGGCACACGTACTCATAGACACAGAGACACAGAGACAGAGAATCAGAGACAGAAACACACGCGGCATGCTGTTTTCCATTTGGCGTGGCTCCAACTCCAAAGGCAACGCTTCAACTCCAACGCCGATATCTCGCAGTGGGCCCTCCCACATGCCGCCAACATCATCCACATCCACATCCACATCCACGGCAGAGCCAGAGCCACAGCCACGTCCACATTCATGCACAACGCCCAAGCATTTGTTGCTGGCACATTGACACAGTTTCTATGCAACGGGCAGATGTGCCGCTCAATGCCTCCGTCCGCACCGCACCACACCGCACTGCGTCTCTGGCTGTGCCACCACGTTGCAAGTTTGTCGACATGTTTTTCTTTTGCTTGGCGACGCTGCTGCCAAATGTCAAGAGGTTAATACGTGAATTAACAGCAAATTTCTTTGACTTGTGTGTGCCTGCATGCTTGTTGTTGTTATTGCTGTTCTTGTCGCGGTTGTTGCTGTTGTTTTTGCTGCTCGCGCAGCTGCCGGCGCTTTCATTGGAATGCGGGCGTTGCTCAGTTTTGTTTTTGTTTCTTCTGCTTAGCAGTCAAGGCAGTCGAAAATGCATTAGGCTGGCCCAACCGCACAACATGTGGTATGTTAAGCGATAGATCAGGCTGTGTTTCTTAAGATATTGCATTAACATTTTTCATGCTTTCAGTATGCCCAAGCATTCCTTTATAAATCAAACGGAATTTCTCCAAGTTGAATACTTTGCATTTCTGATTAGCAAAAGAAAACAACATTTCTTTTATCTTTATGGAAATAGTTTCTGGTGTTACTTAAATTTTATAAGCTAAAATTACAACGCGAACAAAATTACGCTGCCCTATATCCTAAAATCGGATGCCATTTCACATTTCGATTCTAACCATTAACAAGACTAAAACATATATTTTATGTTTATTATGCATTAAAGTCAAATTGATTAAATTTTATATATTTAAAAGTGTATACATACATTAATTATCATGTATGGTATGAAACAACATCTATAGTAAGTGATATTATATATGCTTTTAAAGTCCTAGTTGCTTCGATCGTTAAGGCCGATTGATTTCCTCTAATGTTAATGTTTGCATTGACTTAACAGATGCTTTGATAATATTTGTATACCAGAATAAGCTTTAACTGGCGTTGTCCTTGCTGCATAGCCGAGTCACAAACCATGCGTCCTTGCAAACTGCACAGCTTTGCCGGCAGATGGCGCGGTAGGCAGGAAGCATCTCTGCTATTAATTAATAAAGCAAATCATTCTCAGGCATATGTATAGAGTTCTTAATTTTATATATATGATTATAATCTGTATTGATACGATTTATACGAAATTTAAGCATTAAGCTACATAAAGTTTCAAGGATACTCGTTTTCTACCACCGATAGGGTAGGTTTGTAATTTTATTTCGAATATTCATGTTATTTAGAATATATGTATTTCATCATTTAATACGTCTTTCATATTTAAATTTAATAAAAAATTTAATCATACAGCCCATTTTAACATGTAAGACTTAATTTTCAACTACACATTCCATGCGGCACGCTCGCTCGTTCGCTTGGATCGCTAACCCACATAGATTACTAAAGTGCGATTAAACAATTACGAATATACAAAAATACATACAAAATAGAGTCGTACGCGTATGCAAATTTCTGTGCGCAGTTGGCAGCAAGTGCATATAATTTATTAAATATATATATATATGTATACATATATATATATATATATATATATATATATATATATATATATATATATAT